TGGAGGGGGCGGGGGTGGCACCGTGGGCGAGCCCCGAGGCGTCCGAGGTGGAAGGGTCGCTCGCCGCCCCCAGTGGCGCCTCCGTCCCCGGCGTCACCGCCCCTGCCGCCCCCAAGACGTCCCTCCTCAGGGTGCCCAGCAATGGCCTGGACCGAGACTCCCTCAGCAGCGAGGTGCGTGCCAGCACAGGGCGCCAGTCAGCGGGGCGCCGACCTGCGAGGACGAGTAGACACGTCCTGTATAGCTTGCCTTTTTAGTGTGAAATCATCTAACGGATTTAGCCAGTGCTCTTACATTGCTTACCCCTTCAGTCCCTCTAACTCTCTGCGTCTTTCTCCCTCTAACTCACCCTCACTGCCTCACTCTCAAAACTCACAACAGAGCTCGTACTGAATTATTCTTGCTAACTCACTCTCACTAACTCACTCTCACAACTATCTCACTCTCACTCACTCTCACAACTACACGAATCTTTCGCGCTCAATAACTCACTCGCACAACTATCTCACTCTCACAGACTCTTTTACTAACTCAGTCTCACGACTATCTCACTCTCACTAAACAACTATCTCACTCTCACAGACTCTTTTACTAACTCAGTCTCACGACTATCTCACTCTCACTAAAACACTTTCACTGACTCACTCTCTCTAACTCACCCTCACTAACTCACTTTATGTATCGTTTTCAATATAACTCTCACAGACACACACTCTCTCTCTCTCTTTCTCCCTCTCCCGTGACGCTTCCTCCACCGCGACGCGTTTCCCTTCGCCTTCTGACCCGCCCGCCTTGCTTGCTCTGTCTCCGCCAGGGCGGCTCGCAGAGCCGGCGCCGCAGCTCCGTCATGTTCAACGAGGTGGTCCTGGTGGGCGGGCCGGGCGGGCCCGGTCAGCCGGCCGCCGTCGCGCAGGGTGACAAGACGACGCAGACGGGGGAGGCGGAGGCGGGCGGCGAGCCGCTCACGTGCCAGGAGCTGCTGGCGCTGTCGGGGGCGCTGAGCGCCGCGCTTCCGACCGGCCAGACGGCGCTCAACTCGCTCTTCTCGACGCTGGGCAAGGGCGTGGTGATCGGTGACGCGCTGCAGCGCCACCAGCAGGACAACCACAGCCGGCCGTCGTGCTGCACCGACTGCTGCCCGTGCAGCGCCAGCTGCCCCACCTGCCCCACATGCGCCATGCAGGTAGGGATTTGAAAACTGGAAAAAAAAACAGGGAAAGTTCCGGAAAAAACAAAAAAAAATAGGGGAAAACGGAAATTTTGTAAAAAGTCCGTATTATGGGTTTTTCTAAATTTTTACGGAATTTGTTTTCCTATTTTTTACGGAGCATTTCCCGAAAAAAGAGTTTTTTTCGTAAATTTGAAATTTTTGCATGCAGGCCCAGGGCGGCGAGTGGGCCGTGATGCTGGACGGCGCCGACACGTCGCTGCGCCGCCGCCGGCGCTGCCTGGTGCGCGCCAAGAACTGCACCGTGTCGTGCATGCGCAACACGAGGCGCTACGTCAAGCGGCTCGTCGACCACAAGTACTTCCAGCAGGGCATCCTGGTCGCCATCCTCTTCAACACGCTCAGCATGGGGATCGAGTACCACGAGCAGGTATAGGACCGCTCGGGCGACGCTGCTGACGGTGGTTCGGCAGGGGACTCGTCTACGTCCATGTCGTGCTAAAATGTGTGTTTCTCCGCTGCAGCCCGACTTTCTGACTGTGGCCGTGGAGACGAGCAACATCGTTTTCTCGGGCATCTTCGCGGTAGAGATGTTGCTCAAGGTGACAGCCGAAGGACCGTTCGGATACATCAGCAACGGGTTCAACGTATTCGACGGCGTCATCGTTATTTTAAGGTATCCGTCGTCAAACACAAATGTCTCAATTTTCTGGCTTTGTCTGCGAACGTATTTTTGTTGATACTCATTTGTTGGTGGGGCCTGCAGTGTGGTGGAGCTGTGCCAGCAGTGCCTGGGCGAGCGCGAGGGCTCCTCGGGGCTGTCGGTGCTCCGGACCTTCCGCCTCCTGCGAATCCTCAAGCTGGTCCGCTTCCTGCCCAACCTGCGGCGCCAGCTGTTTGTCATGCTGCGCACCATGGACAACGTGGCCATCTTCTTCTCGCTACTGATACTTTTTATTTTTATATTTAGGTGAGTGTCCGCGGGCCTGGGCCGCCCCTCTCTCTCTCTCTCTCTCTCTCTCTCTCTCTCTCTCTCTCGTTGAAACTACTACGACTGATTGCAAAAGTGTTTGTTGTTTTCGACTGTGTCTCCCCCCGGGGGGTTGCGCCCGGCCGGCCGGCCCGGCCCCAGCCCCTGTGCCATTAGGAATGCTCGGGACGCGCCCCCGGGCCTCTCGGCCGGGCCGGGCCGGGCCACTAGGAGGGAGGGGCGGCGCCACCTGCCAGTGCTGAAAAGAATATTATTATATAAACTTGCGGCCCTTGATTGAAAATCCGGGGGGGAAAGGGGCGACGTGGCGACGCCGCAAAGTGTCGTTGAGCGGCCAGCCGGCCGCTCACTGTTATGTCAAGTGCGATAAATTTCATACAACTTCATGCAATAATAGCCAAAAAGCGATTCCCACAAAATATTGCACCTGGGGGAGCCATGAAAAAATTATCGCACTAAATTGGCATTCGTCATTGCATTAAGTGCTATAATTTTAGCATATTTTTCTGCGATAATTTATCATTGCAGCAAAATATGTTAAGATTATCGCATTCAATGCAATGACAAATGTCAATTTAGTGCGATAATTTATCATCGCAGCAACAGGTGTTAAAATTATCGCATTTAATGCAATAACAAATTATTGCTCTAAATTTGTAGTCTTCATTGCATCAAGAATTACAGTGCTCGCTCGGGGGTCGGCTGCCACTGCAAACTTTTGGCTATAAAATTGTGGATTCCTGCGCGATAATATCATCATTTCCCCCTTTTTCTCTCTCTTTCTCTCTCTCTCTCTTTTTCAAACTCGCGCACGGCCACGGCAATACGGCCGGCGCACTTACTACTACTTGCGCACCACCGCCACCATCGATAACACCCTGCGTGAAGTTTTCCGCGAAATGGCCCGCGGCTTAAGGGGTGGGAAATAAAAAAGTTGCAATACATGTGGTGTGTGAGTGCGTGGGCTGCTGGGCGCGCGCCGATGATGTACACGGCGGTGAGCGGGAGAGCGCGGGGCTGCTGCTGCCGCTGGAGGGGTGTTCCACAGGCGCGCTGCTGCTGGCCGGGGCGTCCCATTGTTCGCCGGCGAGGAAGAAGAGGAGGAGGAGGAGGATTCACTTTGTTTGAAATTAATTGCCGTCCGGATAATGTGCTGGACGGAGTTTTGTTGGCCAATGTGTTTTGTTGTGGGCGTTGTGTTTCCGGGATGAGATGGGAGTCAGCGCCCACAGGGATGCCTGGCATTGTTGGCAGAAGTAAAACATAATAAAAAAAATAGAAAATCAGGGTAGGGTGTTGTGAGGAAGGAAAAGTGGGGGGGG